AATCAGCAGAGTCACTTGCCAGGAACACACTCTATGCGCGCCGCGGTCTGTCAACGGGGGGGGTGAGCATATATATATATATATACACACAGAGGGGGATGCATATAGGTAGGTAGGTAGGTAGATAGACAGATATGTAAGTATGTGTATGCAAACTGTGCCCGCTTACTCAGAAAGAAAGAACGACTAGCATATCGACAGGCAGATAGGTAGATAGTACGTAGGTGCTACAGGCGGCTCCCGACTAAACCCCCTAAACCCTAAACCCTGGACTAAACTCTCCCTAAACCCTAAACCCTGAAGTAAACCCCGAGCCCCTGTCTCAGAGAGGACGACCTCCGCTGCCAGCTCCTGGCCGCAGGCTTTCGCGAGGAGGAGCAGGCGAGCTCTTACCCGTTTGGGGGGTTCGGGTTTACGTTTCAGGGTTTTTAGGGTTTAGGGTTTTGGGGGTCTTATGGCAGGTTTGAAAGGGGCCTGTTGAGGGATTTGGGGTCTAAGATGCTAGACTGCTAGACAAAGAAGAGGGCTTGGTGAAGGAAGGCGACTCTGACGGATAGACAGGGCTGTTCTTGCATCTCTACTCATCTTCAGCTCTCTCTTTGACCCTGAAACCCATAAGCAGAGACTACATGCCTGAAGCCTTCTTCCAGCAACCATGGAGTCTATGAGAGCCTCCATGCAGCAATCCGTCTCAGTCTTAATCAGACGAGACTCGAGGAATTGAAACACTGCGGAGGCCACCTGGAGGCCTCTGGTCAGCCTGGCGGACCTCGCAGCGGCGGCGCAACTGCGGCCCTGTCAGCTCGACTCCCGCAGAAATCTCTAAAAAAGGGCTCTCACTGAAGGTACACGGTTTAGAGTTTAGGGTTTAGGGTAGCCTTCTTGCAAATCTGCAGAAGTCGGTGGTTTGGGGTTCCCTTTTTTTCGATCCAAGGAGGCGCTGCACCACGTCCGGAGCTTGGCCCGCGCGAATCACGAGCAAGCCCTGCCGGAGCTCACGGAGCGCTTCCAGAGCCTGGGCTTCCCGGTGCAGGACCTGTGGATGACCATGGCCTGGATCAGGCGCTATTATATACGACACTCTATATATATATATATGTATGTATATATACACCTGTGTATTTTAAGTTATATATATATATATATGACATAATGATAGATAGATAGATAGATAGATAGATAGATAGATATATATGTATCTATCTGTATATATGTATGATGACGTGTATGGTGATATGGTTTATTTTAGAAAGTATCAGCTGAAATCTGAGATACGGTTGGTGATGCAGGGATTCCTTGTACTGCACTTCGATGCGTGACCGCGATGCAGGGAGCTGGCACCGGTCATCCTCCACATAGACCTTGACAGCATCACGCCGTTTCTAAAGAAGGACACGCACTATCGAAACCAGTTCGAGAGCCTCGGATAAGGGAGTCGAGCTTTGCAAGCCAAGCAGTGACTCGTTCGTTCCCATCAGCATGGTGTTCCTGGCAGCACTGAGGACCAAAAGCTCTCGTGGTTTGTTGAACCTGGAGGTCCGCACGAAGTGGGAGCGATCGCTGTTCGGAGATGCTTACGAGAATGCGGAGCCATTCCACCGACCCAAGCAACGAGTTTGCACCACATAATCCATGCGACAAGCATAGGCACCAGCAGGAGTGCTGGTAAGACATGGTTTGAATTGAGCATGCGGGTGAGTTTCTTTGGCCAAGGTATGGTGTGTTGAACGTTTGGAGCCTCTGACGCAGACCTGAGAGATGCACATCTGCCAAGAACCCAGAACGGACGAAAGTGCTTACCCCCAAGCAGCCCTTCCAACTAGACTGCGATGGCTTTGTCTCGCCGGTCCCGTTACTTCTTGAGCTGGGAGCTGGGAGACAAGGTAGCGCAAGCTCAAGGCACACAGTTCTCATCATGGCGGGGACGGGGATCTTCACGAACCTGCACAGGTGATTCACATGTACACAAGTGCTTTTGAACCCCATACTTCTCTACATGATCGAGTTGGAAACGTGCAGCCGCTGGTACATGCTTCTTGCTTAGGATGGGCGTTTGAGATCCGAGGAATGATCCACAGGGCGTGTACGGCTGCCAACAGTATGGCGATTCCTACCTCGTTCTGAAGGTGCGCTGTGATGGCTGGGATGGGATAGCTCGCTTGCTCGCTGCAGACACAAGGAAGACAAGAGCATCTGCTCAGTGACTTCGGAAAGGGGCGTAGATATGGGAAGTAGTGAGAAGACGGGAGAAGTTAAGGCTTGCCTCGGAAACATTCGGAAACCCTTAGCTTGCCTCTATTCCGGAGTTGTGCAGCAGAAATTCAAAACCAGGCCTACAGCTCCCCTGCTGGGATGCTGGGAAGACAGTCTAGTCTGTGCTCCATGGCCCCAGTCTGATGCTTTGCCAAGTTTTCCATCCAGCCCCTGAGTCTCATTATCTTGCACCCGAAAGAAGGCATCCGCATACCATCAGCAAGTCACCTTACGGCCAGGAAAGCTCCAAAGAGCCGAATCACAGACCCGTTGCCAAGCACCATCAACAAGATGCCAACTTCGCCACAGAATCGAAGTCGGCCATTCCCGTCCATATGTTCTCAACAACTAATTAGTTAAGAGTGTCTTGTCCCAGCTCCGTCCCAAACTCAAGACATTCTGCTGAGAGTCTCTGCCGGTTTACAGAGACACGGTGCTTCCTTAGTAGGTGCGCAGAAATAGAGGAGTGAGCCCGACGAACATCCTGAAATCTGTGTGTTTCGGCTTCTGCTTGACAGTTTCGGATCAGGATGTCCGCTTGCGCTGCACATTGGCACCCCAGGCCTGATGGCTTAGGCGATGAGTCCCCTGGTGCTTACAGTTTCGTGAGGTTTCATTGTGCTTCCAGCAACTGAATCGCCGTGCCACCGTGCAGTGGAAGAGTGGAAGAGTACGGCAGTGGTTGTGGGACCTGCCGACTTGCGGCTTGCCAGCTCGAGCGTTTGTGCCGTTCCGGAAGAGAAAAAAAACCAAGACTGGCAGTTCAACGCACAAAAACATGCTGTGGAGGATTCCGGTGGCCTCCAGGCCCAGAGACTGGCTGTGCTGGACTTCTGCGCGCACTCCCTGCTGGAGAGGGGATTTGCTGAACTTCTCATGTGCGAAGTTGGCTTGGCGACATGAGCACATAGCCAGAAGCAGTCGAAATCCAAGCTTATTCCGGTAACAGAAAGCGGTGTGCCCCGAAGGAGTACAGTGACGAAGAGTTGCGCGAAATGGTTTATTTGGCAAAGCATGGGCACGAGAAAGTGGGGGACTCGAAAGCAACTTGGATGCTTGAATGCTCGCTGTAGCAAATGCCATACGTAGTTGTAGCCAAAGCGACACGTGGGAGCTTCTAGGCCTTTTGGCCTTTGGGTGCTAGCCAGGCAGTCTGCCAACAATGGGGCAAGTACAAGGAAGTGCAACTCCATGGTGAAATCGATCTTACGAAGCGACTTGTCGGAAAAAGTTGAGCTGGCGGGATAGAGCAGGCTCTGACAGAGCCAGTCAGTGATTTTGCCAAATGAGTGGTGCCGTCCAGGCATGTCGAGCGAATTGTCATCCATGGCCGACACAGGAGGCGTGAAAAGATATACCAGGCGCGCTATCGAGCAGGTAATCCAGCGCAACAGACTGGATATGACGTCCTCTCCCTGGCAGGATCTTGCGCAGACCAAGGGGTGGCAGATCTCATGGGTGGAGGACATGGAGCAGGAGCTTGAGGTGGCAGATTCCCAGCGAATCTAACTAGATAAGGCAGCAAGCAGCCTCCGAACTTGGCAGAAGAGTCTTCTTCGCAAGGGACAGCACACAAGATTCCCTCAACTAGTAGACGGCGGAAAGCCTCATGTTGTTGAATACAGGCTTTCAACGAGGGAGCAACCTTGCACGCTCGTTGCAACGAGTGTCAGGCACGAGCAGAGGGTCCGGAGAAAACCCGCGAAGAGCCGCTCGGAGTCGTTCTGCGATTTTTGGGGTGTCGGGTTTCGGGTTCAGGGGTACGGATACCGGATCTCTTGCACGGCAGCCCATCAACTCATTTCCAGGTTCGACGGCATTCTCGAGAGGATTGCCTCTGGAGATCAGCCAGCGAGCCAAGCAGCGGACCAAGCAGCGGAGCAGGAGGCCGGACGCCGCACTTCTCTTTTTTTGCGCCAGACATGAGTGTGCTGCAGAGGCTGAGGCACCGGCACAGCTGAGCTGATCGGGGCGCAAAGTAGTCCAAATGTTTGCTGGAAGCTGTTATCCTTCATGATGTGGCATAGTTTTAAAGTGCAAGTTTCACTCAGAGAGATCCAACGCCCGCGAAGTGGGACGGTTTCAAAAGCCTTGTCGAATTGCAGGGTGCAGAACTTTTGTCTGGGATGCGTGGCAATTCATCCCTCCTGCAGCAACTGGCGACGACCAGAACCGCCCGACCGCCACAGCTAGTACAACCACCACAAGAGCACCGTCACCAGCAGCAGCACCACCACCACCACCACCGCCACCGCCGCCACTGCCACCGCCACCACCGCCACCGCCACCGCCACCGCCACCGCCACCGCCACCGCCACCCCCACCACCACCACCACCACCACCACCACCAAGCGAGCAACACACAGAGCGTTGGCTTTGTACTCCGTCTACATATACAGTTCATATACATATACAGTATACAGATAAGCAGGGGTACGTTTTCCAGAAACACACTTGACATACACACACACACACACAAATACATGCACATGCCTGCTGGGCACATCTTGATTGCACTGCAGCTCTCGCATGATATGTGGCGAGGGCACATGGTCTAGGCTGGAGTTGGCTCTCCTCCTAATCTGGTCTAGATGCCGTCAGCTTAAGATTTTGCATCATGCTGGCGCACTGCAACCTGTTGTATGTGCCATACGCCAGGTTTCAGGTAGAGCCGTGTCTGTTGCAATCAGCGTTCGCGATTAGAAAGACAAGCTAAGGCCTGGACACCCGTCCGATCAGTTCTACGACGCCGCAGCTGCTCGCGTGCCGCCCTGGCTCCCAGTTGCCTTGCTTGTGAGTGCAGATTTGTTCCAGAAATACATACAAAATGGTATGTTATATCTTGTTATAGTAATATATATACACATATTGTAGTATCTTGTAGTATACTATGGTATATTATAGTATATTGTAGTATATTATAGTAAATTCTAGTATATATAATAGCACCAAATAGGAGATACTTTTTGTGGACCTCCGGGCTTGACCGCGCCCGAGGCCGCAGCCAGTCCCCGATCTGACACAGAAGCTCGAAATGGAGTTCCTGGTGCGCCTGGGGCAACTGTAGGATTTAGGGTGTAGGGTTTAGGGTTTTGGGGGTTTAGGGGTTTAGGGTTTAGGAGTTCAGGGGTTTGGGTTTAGGGGTTTAGGGCTTAGGGTTCAGGGTTTAGGAGTTTAGGGTTTAGGTTTAGGGTTTAGGGTTTGGGGTTGGTTAGCTCACCGTGCCTTTCAAAACATCCTGGACGGAGAAGAGTGCTGACGTTCGTAGGCTCATAGGCAACCAGAAGAGCAACGGACATGAGAAAGGTGGCAACAAAAAAAGTTCAAAGCAGTAGTGGCAATGAAGCTGATTTTGACAGTGGCTGTGGTCGTGCAGACCAAAAACCACAACAACCACAGCAATACTTGTAGTGTTCTGCATAGCGTTACTGTAGAACAACAGCTCGTGCGTGTACTAATGCTGTTATTTGTTTGAGTAGTACTGCCTGTGTGAGCTCATGTTCATCTGTTGCTGCTGCTGCTGCTGCTGTTGCTATTGCTACTCCTTTTGTTGCTGAGACTGCTGCTACCCTTACTGCTAGTGTTACTACTACGGCTACGACAAGCAGTACGACGATTACTACGACTAGTGCTAGTATACAAGTCCTTGCTACTGGCCGTGCAACAACAACTACTACAACTACTGCAACGACTACTTCCTACGTACTGCTTTTGACTACCTACTACCTCGTGCATGCTTACTACTTATTACGTACTTGTTCCTGCTGACTGCGACTACAACAACAACAACAACAACTACTACTACTCCTGCAGCTACTACTACTACTACTACTACTACTACTACTACCACCACTGTTATTAGTACTAGCACTTGTACTTGTACTACTACTGCTGCTACTACCATTATGACTACTACTACTACTACTACTACTACTACTGCTACTGCTACTACGACTACTACTACCACTGCTACTACTACTGCTACTACTACTACTACTACTACTACTACTACTACTACTATTACCACCACAACAATCACAGCTACTACCCCTGCTGCTGCGACTGCTGCTACTGCTACTACTACTACTACCACCACTACTATTACTGCTACCACTACTACTACTACTACTACTACTACTACTACTACTACTGCCACTACCACCCTGAGCGCGACTGCGACTGCGACTGCGACTACAACGACGACGACGACGACCACGACGACGACGGCGACGAGGACGACGAATACGACGACAACGACCACCACCACCACCACCACGACGACGACTACAACGACTACTACCTAGAACAACAGCAGCATCAACAATTGGTACTACTTACTAGTGCTACTGCTACTGCTACGACCTGCTACGGCTGCCTTATGTCAGTGCTCATACCAAAGCCCATGCATAGTAATACTAACAAGCATGCAAGTCATAGCAACACTTATGATCACAGTGTCTGTAGTTGTAATGCTAACAACAGCTGGAATAGCAAGCATATAGTAGAATCTGTAGCTGTGGCAGTAGCAGTATTTGTAGTAGCAATCGCGGTATTGGTTTCAAGAATAGAGGTACTCATCACCATCGTGTTAGTTATGGCCGTCATCAGCTAGAGTTTGCTTCAAATGGATGCAACTGCAGGAGACGATCGAAAGCTCCTGGGCGACAGGCCAATCAGAGTGCGGCCCTTGGAATTCGGAGACTTGTAGCATCATTTTCGCCAAATCCACAAGGCAAAAACACTATACTATACTATACTATACTATGCTATAATATACAACATACTATATTGTCGAGCTAATCGTACCTACATTGCCTTTCAGCCTTGGCAAATGCTTTTCCTGCCGTGCTTGCGGCTAAGAACATGGTGAGACTGAGCATGATTGTTGCAGGAGCAACTGCTACAACAACAGCTACGATGCTACTACTACCACCAACACCACCGCCACCACCGCTACCTCTACTTCTTCTTCTACTACTTGTCCTGCTCAACTACTGCTGCTCCTCCTACTACTACTCCTGCTGCTGATGTTGCTGCTACTGACTGCTCAACAACAACAGCGACAACAACAACAACAACAACAACAACTACTACTCCTACTGCTACTCCTACTCCTCCTCCTACTCCTACTCCTACTCCTACTCCTACTCCTACTCCTACTCCTACTCCTACTCCTACTCCTACTCCTACTCCCACTCCTACTACTACTACTACTACTACTACTACTACTACTACCACTACTACTAGTACTACTACGACGACTACTACTACCACTACCACTACCTGCGACCACTGCCACTACCAATACTACTGCCATTACTACTACTACGACGACGACGACTACCACTACCACTACCCACTACCACTGCTACTTCTACTACCCCTACCACCAGCACTACTGCTACAGCTGCCAGTGTAACTACCACTGCCCCCGCCGCTGCTGCTGCTGCTGTTCCTGCAAGTACTACCACTGCTATTACGTGCCGCTTCTGCTACGACAACTACTACGACAACGCCGACGACGATTACTGCTGCCACTGCTGGGGCCACTACTGCTGATGCTGATGCCACTGCCATGAAAGACTTTGAGGAAAGAGCTTTGGGGACAGTATGCCAAGCGAGCCGAGGCCCGCTGATTGCATCCAGTCGATTGCCCGTGGTTCAATGGAATCCCAGTTGTGGCTCTTATCGCAGGAGCTGCTGATCACCATGCCGCTGGATCGCATTCTGCGGGTTCTCAAGGCCTTCGTGCTCGCAAGATTTCGTGCGCTTCCCAGCCTGCAGATTCCAGTTGAGAGTGCAGCGGCCCTTGATGCCAACCAGGAATCCAGGAAGCCCAGGCTCCTTGAATGCGAACTGAGGTAGCGCCGACTTGTTGAATCGAATAGGCTCTGAGCTCGCCAGGGAGGCCAGGCGGAAGCTGCCCCATCCACAGTCGGGTTTTAAAGTGCCGAGAGCATGGTCAGGTGAAAAGTGCCTCCTCGACACGGCTTTGCCAAGTCTTTCACTGGTGTCTTGGAGTGCAAGCGAACTGCAGATGTCAACTTGCAAGGCGAAAGCTTCGGACGGTAGCTTGCAGATTGAGAACTGATCCATCCCTCCACGGCCGTGGAGAAACAAAGGATCGCAAGGGCAGGGCTACGAGATCAATCGTTGATGTGCCTCATGGGCAACGAGGTCGGACATGCCAGATATGAGTGAAGGCTTATGACGTCACGCCCGTAAATTGTGGCAAGGCACTATTCCGCCTGTCAGATGACTTCGTCCTGGACATGTATGTCGAAGTGATGAACGTGCATGCTAGGCTTGGTCTTGAGACAAACTGGAAGCGACGTTTGTCTCTGCACCTTTGAGGCTTGACGTTCGCAATCCAAGACTTGTTGGTGCAGCTTGGCCGTTCTGGGTCAGACCAACAGCTCGTGAGTCAAGGAGATTTGATCCGTCTCAGGCAATACTGCGGGAAATGGCTCCCTTCTTTAGAGAGCTGAGTGGCAGTCTCGGGAGGCATGTTCTTTTGCCGCGTGACGCATCAAAGCCGCCTCTGAGGCAAAGATCAGTGCACGGCTGTGATCCCGCTGACAGTGATGTCCGTCTTCTCTGATGAGGCTAAGCGGCTAGGCACTCACCCGGAGAAGGGCCCAAAGTGAGTTGGTCGGTGGACTAGGCTCGTGTGGCATACCTCTCGCGATGTGCCGAGCTCAACATGGGGCTGCCAGCCATCAACTCAGGAAAGAAACCTCTCTGCCTCGCACCCTGCTCGCATCTGCCGGTCGCTACAATAGATTCGAGATGCCAGGTTCGTATGACGAAGCCAGATGTTCTCAGACAGTCACAGCCCCAGAATGCGTTTGTGCCTTTGACAAGCCTTTCCCGATTTTTCAGAGACCCTCCAAGGTTTCGGCTGTTGGAGGATTGCCTTCGTTTGGATTATCATCCGACGGTGCACCTCTCAAATCCGGCTGGGAGCAACTGGAAACAGACCGGAAAGCCACGGAAGGTGCTGCCGGCCCAAGTCCAGCTCTGGCTACAAAACCTGAAGGCAGAAAGCGAGGCGATCCGATCTTAACTCTTTGCTTTTCGTGGGAGTTCCGTGGAGCTGAGGCCCATGATGCAATTGTCCCAACGCCTTTGTCGGATGTGGAGCAGGCGCGATGGGCTCCGCCCCGTGGCCTTATTTCGGACATAAGAGTGTTTTTACCTTGAGTGGAGGACATCTTGCGGGTCCTTGAGCAGGAGCTTGATGTGGTGACTTGGCAGCAATGGCAATCCGCCTCGAGGGTTTTTGTAGTTCGCCATGAGACCCGTCGAGGCCGTCACACCGATCTTGCAGGTCGGCGACTTCTCTTCAGGAAGTCCTGAGAGTGAGATGCTTGAAGCCCTGCTAGGACTCCGTGCTGACCCTCCACCTGGTCTTGGGCAAGACGGTTCTGCAGGTCATGGATGCCTACGATGACTATTATGTTGCTTGCTCAGGGAGTGCTTTCAGCGGGTCTTTGATCTTTCTGCTGCTGCCTGATGCTCCAAAGGTTACACCCGCCATGGGGGGACAGCGCCTCGTGCGTGCAGCCTGGCCCTCAGATGTTGCTGCCAGCTGGGGTAACACTGACAGACTAAGAAGGCCTGCACAAGAGCACGTTGCGAGGAGACGAAGCTGCAGCAGCGTCTGATTTGGCGTCGCGGCTGGAGACTTCTGACCCTCGATGCTGAGGAGTCCGGGTCCAAGGTGCTAAGGTGTCAGTGCTGCTGTCCGGTGTTTACGGCGCCGGCCTGTAGCACCGCTTGCATGGCTGGTATGACGAAGCCTTGCAGCGGGCCTGGCAAGGTGGAAAAAGCTCACGGACGACATCTACAAGAAGGACCCGCCCCATTGCCCCTGCTCGGCCGCGGAGCCTCCTCCGAAAATGCATGTCGGAAGGGAGAGTGGAGAACCATCCAAGAATGGCTTTCAACAGTCAGAGGGACTTGGGAGCTTCGAGCTTCGCGTGTGCTCTGGAAGGACCTGCTAGAAGAGCTCTTGATCCATGGACAGCACGACTCTAAGCATGTAAGTTGAAGTTGCCAGCAGGCCAGGTATTCCCAGGTATTCTGGTGGAATATTTTCATTTAAAGCATGCGCACATGTCTATCTACAGGTACACCACAGGTCTCAATGTAGCTGCTACTACTGGAGCTGCTGCATCCAGTGCTGGACTCCTGCCATTTCTACTCCTGCCCCGCCTCCGCTACTACTACTACTACTACTACTACGACGACGACGACGACGACGACGACTCCTACTACTACTACTGCAACTACTGCAGCAACAACAACAACAACTACTACTACTGCTGCTACCACTACTACTACTACGACGACGACGACTACTACTCCTACTACTCCTACTACTACTGCAACTACTGCAGCAACAACAACAACAACTACTACCACAACTACTGCTACTACTACTACTACTGCTACTACTACTACTACTACTACTACTACTAAGACTACTACTACTACGACGACGACGACGACGACGAGGATAGGCACAAGAAGTTTGACAGCAACACCGATACTGAGCTCGCTGTGATTTGCTTAAGGCGCAGCATCCGGCCACCATGATCTCGGTGCGGGGCTGTGGTCTTCTGTAGATGTCGCACCGGTTGCTGCAGGTCACCTGTATTTCAAGAAGAAGGGTTACCTTATAGGCACCAGTTGTACTGGGACTTCACCGTACTCAAGATCCATGTTCGACAAACCCTCAAGTGCCGTGTGTTCACAGCCTGTTGCCAACTGCTTGTAGCAGCAAGTTTGCAAGCAAGAAAGACATCCTTGCATGACCGGTGCCCCAGAAGCATGTCCTTTCTATGTTTGTGCTCAGGCAGAGCTGGCTGAAGAACGGTTTCACCGCTTCCCATGAGGATCAAAGTTTCCATGGGAGAGAACCAGTGCTCTGCGCCATCCAAACAGCATGCACATCTCTTTCCCTATAACCCTACACCCTAAGGCTCTAAGGTGGCACAGGAAAATTCCATGCGCAAGAGGCGCCCCGCTTGCTGGAATGAGCAAACTGCCCCAGCAAGTCGGCCATCTTTCGTCCAGACTCTATCACGCATACCTCGGATCTATGTCGTGGTGTTAGCACTTGTTCTGGTGTGCAATGAAGTGCTCGTAAATGTAGCTTGCCTAAGGTTACTAAGCTAGCTCAAAACTCGAAGGACTCAGTCGTCTTTCGACGTGCAAACAAAAGAAGCCAAAAGTCAAAGCAGGGTTCCGTCAGGGCAGGATTCCGTTTCAACGCTACCACCCCGGTCGAGCTTAAGTTCACATTGCCTGCATGACATGGGCTCTTTGCTCGATGAAGGAGGTGAATACACAGGAGCAGTTCAAGTCTGATCCGCATTGACATCTGACTGATTTCCGAATCGGCACAGGGCTCAAGTGCTGCTGTTGCAGAACTAAAGTTTGCAGCATGGCGCATGCGTAGCCCAAGATGGTGGAATTGGTTCTTCAGCAGGCGCATTGGCAGTTTGAGCGCACCTCAACATGTGTGCCTCCCTGGTCCTATGAAACTTGCTCTGGCACTTTGCCGGGTAGGACATTTCATCCTCACAGACCACCATAGCGGCTGTCAGCATCGGAGATTCGCGGGGCGCCTTCGAAAAGGAGTGTGTGCCTTCCCACGCAGTCCGTGCGGCCCGAGGCAGACAGTCGGAAACCTGAGAGATTCTACATCCTTCCATTTTGCAAAGGCCAGGGCTTAGGGTTTAGGGTTTAGGGTTTAGGGTTTGGCTTCCTCGGCATGGGGACCTTGTGGGCAGCCCGCGGTCAGGCGACGGGCCACTACGGCAAAGTGGAAGTCTTCCATCGCCTGGGTGGCTGCAGGATGCCCGGCTTCGGCTTTCTGAGAAGTGGGGAGTCAAAAGGCCGTCCTTCCGAAGATCGCTTCGAGGTCGCTTAGACCCGGTCCTCGCCCATGTCCCAGAAGCCAAGGCCGGAAGCAACGCGCTTCGTCTCAATTTGGGGTTCATGTCACACGAAGCAGGTCTTGCTCCGAGAGGCAAGCAGCCGGGAGCTCGATCTTCCTTCTTTCGCTCAGAGGGCGCAGGAACGCAACTCGCGTGGATGCGAGGCTCCAGGGAACCTGCTCGGGAGGGGGACCCAGGCCCAGGGCAACAAGTCGAAGCCGAAGCCTCGCTTGGGATAAGTGATAGCCGAGTGATCTCCTCCCCGCCCGGACCCAGGCTTCTGATTTGGGGGCCAAATGCTCCGCATCAGAGTACATCAAGATGCCTTGCGCTCAACACCCCAGCCGCAACACTCACAACTCTTCCCTGCGCAGCATGTGCTGACACGCGGAACCTTTTGTGAGCTATGTGAGAGACTGACCATCCCATCCTTCGGACTCACGAGGGACTGCAATCTCGGGTCTCGGCTCAAGTGCAGCGTGGGGCGTCGAATCGGCGCTTCTTCGACGGAGCCTCAGACGCTGCCTAGGCGGACGATTTTCCGAGCAATGGCTCTTGTTGGCGAGCTTGTGCCAAGCCTCTCCAGATGGGCGACACATACCCATCATACCCCAGCTTGTGCATCCCAGCCTGCGAGGGCGAGAGGGCCGAGAGCGCTCGGTGGCCGAGATGCTCGGGTGCCCGCTTTGTCTCGATCGGCTTTTGCTGGACCTAGCCTCGCCAGCCTCACCAGACTATCTCTGGCTTCTGTCGCTGCTGCTGCTGCAAAGAATCTCAGCATCAGGCGAGCAACGAGCTCGAAGGGCCCTCCAGCATGGGCCGCCGAAGACTTCAGATATGTATACCCCTTCTCCGATGGCGTGGAGGCCTTCTCCTTCAAGCCGGCGACAAAAAGATATACTATCGACTTTCTCAGGTCAAGCTACTTCTTGATTCTCCACGTCATCGCGTTCGCCTGCGGACCATGCTTGAGCATTAAATGTAAACACCCGGGGCTGGGTATTTGCCGTTCCAGTTTCGGTTACGGACCCCACCCTAACCTGTAGGTTCTACTTGCAGTGTCTACACGTTGGGTTACCTCCATCACGAAGGACCGAGTACGTTTTCACTTCCCGCTCTTCTTTGTTGCCTTGGTCTGTTCGTGTTCTTCCAGACAATGGGAATCTCGCTGTCTTACCATCGACATTTGACTCACCGTGGTTTTCAGTGTCACAAGTACTTCGAGCAGCTGGGAATCAGATACTTCTATCGTCTCCTCGAAGTAATGTCAGTAATCAAGCTACATCGGCGACTAAGCCTGCAAACGATTGCCTGGCTTTTCCTTGGTGATGTGAGGTACTTCATCGCGTATTGCGGCGCCTTAAACATGCAGGGCAATCCGATATGGTGGGCCATGAACCACACGTGGCACCACAGATTCTCGGACACTCCCTGGGATCCGCACACTCCGCGGGAGGCACGTTGCTAGAGTATGCTGCTCTAAGGCCTCACGGCCCCACCCACGTCAACCCAACACCCAGCTGCAGAAGTGCCTTGCTCAGGGGCTCTGGACTGCCCATGCCGGGTGGTTCTTCGAGAAGGAGCGGGTTCTTGAGAAGATGCCGAAGGCCATCGTGGCCTCCCACAACCATGTGGAGCCCGGCGAGGAGGATGAAGCCTACCTCCCTTGGTTCTACAAGGAGTCCCCCCAGTTCTACGACTGGCTTCGGCAAACCTATTACATACACCAAGTCTCTCAGGTGGCGCTATTGTATCTGTTGGGTGGGTGGAGCTTCGTTGTCTGGGGCTTTGTGATCCGACTCCTCCTGGGCATTCACGGATCGGCCCTCAGTTGGTGCCATGCCGTGCAGTAAATCCGGTGACCTGCGCAGCCCGAGTGCCAAACCCGGCCCAGATCTGAGGCGTCTCGGCCGTGAACTCCTTTGCGCATGTTTGGGGTGAGCAGCCCTTCAAGACCGGTGACGACTCCAAAAACAATGTCTGGGTGGCAATGGTGTCCTCAGGCGAAGGCTGGCACAACAATCACCACGCATTCCCAAGGTCCGCGAGGCATGGGCTTTTCCCGCCTCTTGCTTCAATTAGTCCTGATTTGCCATCGTGTTGCCTACGGACAAGCCTCAAGCCTACATGACAACGAAGGGGACAGTTCGATCTGACCTATGCATCTCGGCCGCATCTTCAGGGGTGTGCAGGTTTTTAAGGCGGAAATTTCATGTTTTGCAGGCCGGGGGTGTAAAGCAGGCAGGTATCCGCAAGGCAACGTGGCCGTGGGAAGAGCCCGACCCAGCCCATCTTACCCATAGACAGCATGCGAATGACGTCGATTTCGTATTTGTCAGCTTAGCCGCACCTGAGAATTTGATCCTCGTGCTGGAGAAGCTCGGAGTGGTTTGGGATGTGCAGCTTCCCAGCGATGCGCAAATCGCCGCAAAGCTGCGCTCTGCGAGCGAAGCGAAGGATGCAAAGGCGAGCGAAGCGAAGATGGATGTCCCTGTTACGAGTGAGGCCTAGAGAGGCCGGGGCCGGGGCCGTGCTCAAGGATCCTCGCCAGACTACATGTGAAATGCCATAGAAAAAATTGCCATCGCACGAGTCCCTGCCAGACTTCGTGCTTCGGGTGGTAGGGTGTGCCGTCCTGGTGCAGTGCATCATCCGATCAGCCTTTCTGGTATGCGAGCCGTAGCAGTCGTCTCTGGAAGTTGCCCACACTCGCTCTCCATATTGATCAGAGCCAGCTGAGGCATGACTTAGAAGCGCGGCTTGCTGGCGCTGTCGAAGCGCCTCTGTTGAACGGGTAGCGAGTTTCTGTAGCACGTGCTAGTGGCGACAGTGACTGGCATCTTAGGTTGTTTAGGTCTGCTTCGGTCTAGTTGCATCGTGTGCGGCCTGATCCATTCGAGCTTGAAGGAGCTTCTCAAGAAGCGGCCTCCACCAGAGGCTGCTTGTGACTTCTTGGCCGCGGCGCTGTCCCAGTCTTACTTAACAACAGTGCATCGGTACTTCGCATTGCTTCGCTTTGTCGAGTGCGTGGCTGTCGACCAGCAAGAATAGCGAAAGCAGAGCAGATCTAGATAGCGGGCTGCTATGGTTGTTCTGCTAAGGTGCGCAGGCTAGCTCTGGGGGCGGCAGCTTTGTTCGACTCGTCTTGGGCTGCATGTGCACGCTGTGTTAACATCTCTCCGGTGCAGTCTCTGAACCTCGAAGACTGCACGACCGGTCCTAGCCGAGCCAGCCGTCCGTCAAACGTCGCTGCCTCCCGTATCATTGGCAGGTGGTAGTTTGCTTTTGCTTGCATGGCTAGTTTCGACAACGGCCAATCCACATCAGTAAAAGGGCCAGCTTCTGCGTCTATGATTGCAAAGACTCGATCGGATACTTTGCCAGCTGCTTGTGCCCCAGCTCTGATCTGAGTGGTTTTGTTCTGTTGGGCTTTCGAGCGCTGAAGCGTGAAGCTGGAGAGATTACCACAAGATTTTAGCCAGGACATACAAGCACGCATCATCCTCGACAAAATCGACAAGCCTTGCAAAGCTGATGTTCCCTGCAGCTTTGTCCAAAACCTACGACAAGCAGCGTGCCGTATTCACGCAGACACACAGATCGTCGATGGTAACCGAAACCCTAAACCCTAAACCCTAAACCCTAAACCCTAAACCCTAAACCCTTAACCCAAGAGCACTTCGGAGAGTTTGCAGCTGCCCTTTCTGTGGATGACGCCATGGCGGCGAGTGCAGGAAGCCGGGAGCTGAGTCGAGGAGCCGGAGCTCCGTGGGTTTATGGGTTTAGGGTCTACGGGTTTAGGGTCTATGGGTTTATGGGTTTAGGGTTTATGGGTTTCTTCTTCCGGATTTGGCAAGTGTCGTGTCGACGCGCCTCAAATTCAAGACAGGCAATCAGCCGTCGATCAAAGCCGGCAGCAAGGCGGTCATGACGCTTACTTCAGCGAGCATAGCTGTACCACGCCTCTGCACAAACTTAATCCCAGCGGCTTCAAACGTCAGGGAACCGGCATCCTGAAGAAAGGACCGTACCCAGCAGCTGGCAAACACCTGCACACTGGGACGGTCTGATGACTGAGCTCCGCTCCAGTCCAAAACAAAAGACTCGACCTCTACCCTATCCGCTATCGCCACTAGCTTCATGAAAGCCGGCAAGTCAGAGAGGGAGGCGAGGTCCTGAAAGGCCTCGATGACGGTAGTGGTCGGGGAGGGAGTCATAGTGGCTGCGTCTGCCAGGAGTGGCGGTTGCAGCGTCGACCACCAAGGAAGTGGTCCCACAAAATTGGTTACCGGCACCTGCTCTGCTGCCAGTACTTCATCTTGTTCTTGATCAAGATCAGCATGGACAAAGACTGCGCAGCAAGCCGGTGCTCTGCGCAGGTGTTCGCGGAGACGTGCCGTCGACCAGAACTGCTTTCGGCACCGGACACAAACTGTACCGAAGGCTGCTCTCTGGGGTGCCTGCATGTCGTGCGACTTGCTGCAATGTGCTGCCAAAGCCGCACGCGTAGAGCACGATGTACTGCATTGTGGGCACCTGAACCTGGGCGAAGTCGGTGGGAAACTGAAGTGCAGGAGACCTTGTTGCTCAGCTTCGTGCATGGCGCTCGCTTGCTTGAGGCAACGCTGTATCTGCGGATCGCGCGCCTGTATGCAGTGTCTGCGCACTTTGCGGAGCAGTCCTTTGGTCTCCGGCCCAGTCAGTGGCCACGATTGGATAAAGGTCTCTGGGCAGGTATGGCGCCACCAGGTTGTGAGCCGTTCATTTAGCCCCAACTTGACGCACCATTGGACATCTTTAAAGGCCTGATCGCGCCAATATTTGGAGTCCTGGATAAGAGCTTGTAGGAAGCCGGTGCCGCATTCTCGAATCTGTGCGACTAACCGCACCCTGGCGAGGCTGAGTGCCTCTCCTGGGGACAGTGCCCGCAACACTGTGCACACCTGTTCCTGCGTCATGCGCCAGCAAGGAACCTGAAAAAGCGGCCTCACTGCCGGCCGAAGTAGGGCCATGTAGGACGCTTGAAAAGCTTCCCGCTCTTTGTGCGTATGCAGTGCCCAGGTTGCCATCCCGTGCATAAAGCGACCCAGGACGAGCGAAAAGACGAAATGTCTCCTTTCGTCTTGAGACAGCTCCTTGTTGCGTAGTAGCCGTTTGCATACTTGGGACCCAACTGAAGCTGCTGTGATCTTGCGGCGATGGATGTCGGAGAGTGCGCTGCAGAAGGGCCCACGGAGGCTGCCTAGGTGGACGTATTTGTCTGTGCACACCAGCTTTTCTTCCCGGCCCATTGGAAGACTGACACGTAGGTATCCTTGGCTGCCAATGAAGAGGTCGATTTTTGCCTCCTGAGCACCAGGGCCGTGCATCTGAAGGATAGCTTCTGATTTGCCCTTGCCAAAGTTCATGTCGATGCCGGACAGGGACAGAGCCTGAGCTGTCAGTGCGGCAGTACGCGACACACGGCCTGCGAGGTCACCTGCTCGTGCCGACGTAACTGGAACCGCGAAGTCGTCCAGCCATGTGAGCAGATGAGGCTCCGTGTCGCCCAACTGCACTGCAAGCCCCTCCCGGCTTAGGCTGCGCTGCAAGCTCTCAAAGGCTGGAGCAATAGTTAGCTGAAACAAGATGTCCGCTAATGGTGCTCCTGGGATGGTCCCCGCCTTGGTATTGAAAACCGTAGTGTCCTCCGGCAAGGTGGAGAACCACGTTGAGCAAAAGCCGGCCTGGATGAGTCTTTGGGTCATCTCGTCGACCTGTGCATGCTCCATGCATGACTTGCCTTGCACGATGGAGATGTATATCTCCTTGATATCGGGCTCTATAGGGAGGCTGGCAATCCAGGAGGACCTCTCTTCTGCTGTCCCTGTACCGAGGGCGAGCCGGCTGGTCGCGTAAAACGCGCTCACCCCGTCCACGAACAGCAAGGCTCCGCTTGTCCTGGTGTGTTTCAAGAAATCCAGAAACACTTGCCCAGTGACAGCTGGGAGTTCCAATGGGAAGCCCCGTCTCGCTCCGGCCGTGCCTGGGTGGGCCACTCGTTCTAGGCCCTCAAGGAGCCGTGGTCGGATTGCGCGGCCGACCGCCTTTGCCGCCGCTTCGAGCAGCGCAATCGCCCTGTAGCCCGTGACCGAGAAGCGGTCTTTGGCTGGTTTGGCAATGGGGATTGAGAGAGATCCGGACCACAGTAGGGGCGCTCTGCCCCTGGTTGCCATTTTTAACACCAGAGGCAGATGGTGTTGGGCAGCTTGTGCCGGCGCTGCTCGGTAGAAGTCTGCAATCAGCCCACTGATGCCAGCGGCCTTGCGTGGCTTGAGGCTGGCGAAGCCCCTGGCGAGATCGGCAATAGTGGGCATGTGCTGGGCATCGAGGTATCTGTGGCCTTCTGGCGGATGCACTGAGGACGACAGTTCCTGGAGTGGCCTGGGAGTGGCCTGTTCGGCCTCTGCGAAATGCTCGCCGAGCCTGTGGAGCACCTCCGTCTGGCCCGTAAGCTCCTTGCCATTTTCACGGAGAATTATCGCGGTCCTGGCCGGTTTGTAGCGTCTGCCGGTCTTAAGCACAGCTCGGATGAGATGTGCTTTACGGGCTGGCCCCTCCGCCGCTGCTTCTGCGAAGATGCGCTTGGTGAATCTAGCTTCATCGCGACGGGAGGCCTCTCTGACCCGTCGACAGATATGACGCAGCCTGGTCTCGTAGAGGGTCTCGTTGATAACCTGTCGAGCCAGGAGTCGGAGAAAGCGCCCTACGGTACTCCTCTGGTGGCGCCTGCTGTTTGCCCAGGTACTAAAACAGAAGTAAAGGCACTCCCTCGCCCAAAGCTTGCTTCTCATGCGGTGGCGGCTTCTCAGGAACCGCTTTTGCAGCAGAAGCACCCATGTGGCATCAGAAACCACTGGGCTGCGGGGTTTTTTAGGACCTTGAGCGAAGTGAAGTTGCAGCTGCTGCTGGAAGTGGGTATTAATGCAATGCAGGTGGTCATCGATGCACACTTCCCAGCTTGGACGCGGGGCGGTGTCGAAGATGCTGGCAATAATCTCCTTGCCTTCCGGCGTGTGCATACGTTCTGTGTCCAGCCTACTACTTTGATCCCGTGTGCGCTCAGCCACCCGGATGTCGAGCCTGAGGAGCAGAGGGTCGTGATCTACTCCGGCATGCTGATCGAGGATAGTCCGGGCCCCCAGAGTGGTTGCTGCTGGATGCCATATTTGCGGATACATAATGAAATCCAAGCAGAAAGCTTTCCCTTGAGGGGAAGTCCAGGTGGTAATGGGGACACCGTCTGGGGTGCTAGTGCCCGATGAGCACAGTGAGTGTTGCCGTAGGAGAACTTCCATGTGGAAGGCATTTGCATTCTCTGGCGTATCTCCGGCCCAATGGGCATTGGTGTCGGCACCAATGATTGGCAGGCATCCCCGTGGGGCTTGGCGCAAGACGCTGTTTAGTGCAGACCACCATTCTTGTATGTCTGCCTCGGTGGACGTGCTTGTCCTCGCATGACCGGACACAAGGAGGAGTGACTGGCCATGCATTTTTGCCTTGACAACCAGGAGTCGTGGATGGCTGTGCAGAATTGCAAAGGCTTTAACATCCCATGCTCCTGGCTGCTTGGCGACATTAACCCAGACCTGGCATCCTAACTGACCCTGGGCAGCCGGGCTTGCGAAGCGGTGCACCCCGTCGACAATCCGCACTGATTCGGGCGCCTCCCGGGTTTCTTGCAAGGCAAAAACATCCAGTTGCTGGCCACGAACAAACGCTTGCAAGCTGTGTCGCTGGAGGCACGTCTTGGCAGACAAGGTATTGTAGGTCCCAAGAGTGATGCTAAGGGCCTGGCTCTTACAATGTCGTTTGCGCGTTGGCATGGCCCAGTCCTGGGGCCTCACTGGTGGCTGGCTGGTCGTTGCTGGTCGAACTGCCTTGGTGGTGCCTGTGTCGTCAAGCACTGGCCAGTGGGGAGCATATTGGCTAGCCTGGGGCAGCCATAACCAGTCAAGGACGCCTTCCTGAATGACTGAGCGTAGATGGTCCTTGAGATGGAGGGACGATGGCCCATGCTGTTGAGCCCAAGTGGCCAACGAGTCGGCAAGCTCGTTGCCTGGGTGACCAGTATGGCTTTTTACGTGCATCAGGGTTGGTGCCCGTGCTCGAGTCAGAAGGAAGCATCGTATCGAAGCAGCAGCTTGCTGTAACCTGCCCCAGTGCTGGCTGGCTGCTTCAGAGGAGGTGACCGCCGCGGCAGCGGTTGCATCGAAGGCAATAACCGAGGACTTCCATGGCATTGCGGCGACTATCAGGTGGGCCACCAGCTGTGCCTGCAGCTCTGCCTGGTACGCGCTGTCATGCTGTCCCTGCTCGGAGTCGGCGTAACCTGATACAAAACCCCCCCAGTACCAAACACCCCGGCTTTCAACTATTACAGCAACTGCCCATGCCCCTTTGTTCTGCTTGGGCTCAAAAGAGCCATCGACAAACAACATGGCTCGATCGCCGCTGTCGTCCGCAGGGAGCGGCTCCAGTGCCTCAAGGAGCCTCTGAGCTTGTGGGTGTATTGGGATATTGGCCACTTTGAGGTTAAGGTTAGCGAGCCTGAAAGGCTGTAGCACATGTTCTTTCACCTCTTGGTTAGTCGCAACCCTCAAGCTGCATTCGCCTGTTTGCCTGGGCAGGTCGTTGGCAGCGCATGGCTTTGGCGCCTGTTTCTGGTGACCCTCAGCATGCAGATGCTCTGAAACAA